CAATTAAAAGGGGAAAAGTATTCATGTGGCAGTCCTAATAGTAGAAACATATTTACTGCAAGGCAAGAAAGGAACATAAGGGAAAAAAGGAAAGGAGAGGAGAGAGGGAGAGGGAGAGAGAGAGACTAAGGATATATCTGTTATTTAGACTAATTTTCTATACAGGAGAGCCAGCAGCAAGTTCCTAAGCTGAGAACCAATGTGCAGAATAATACAGGAGTGTTTTACACGCACTGTATGCAATCATGGCTCAGATTGTAGGCATGCCATTTCAGCCACGGTTTACGATCTGGTCAGGAAAAGGGCATAACCTAATTCCAGAAGGGTAAAGCACTTGGCTTTAATTCCCGCCATTTGCTCCCCTTTTCTCACTTATCACTTGGAAGAGGATGTCTACCAACGTGCCATATTGGCTTAGTACCTATAGACATAAGAGCAACTTAATAATCAAAGCACAAAAGGAGCTTTAAAAAGTGGCAAACAAGTATGCGCTTATATCCTACAACGTTGCCTATGGTATATCTGTGCTGTATACCAGTTATAGATTTACAGTCAGCCACAAAGGCATAAAGCAGGGGTAGACAAATTAATTTGGAATTCAGGAGCCAGACTCTCCAATCCAGGAGCCAGTAGGATTTCTTTTAGGAGCCAATTCCATTGACAGCAACTAGAGAAAACCTCAAAAGTTAGGAGCCAACTGTAATTTTTAAGGAGCGTTGGCTACCTGGCTCCTGGGATTTGTCCATCCCTAGCATAAAGCAATGATTTGCATGGCTCTACCCACTATCCAAAAATGAAGAATACATTCAAATTGGTTACTATGGGCTACTACTCATAACAATAGGAACTGTATGATTTGCTGCCTTCAGCAACCACTACCAATGCAGTTAAAAAAGCCAACGATCAGCTTCTTCTGAGAGTTAGTCACCAGAGCTCCTTTGGCAGAGACTACTTAACCAATGGTCTATGTAGGCTTCCCAGGGTCCTGCTTTCTAAAGAAAAGTACATCACAGCCTTTTTTTGTAACTATTTGTTGGTTTTAGCACGCAGAACTGTTAGCTTAGGCAAATGATTAATTGAACATAGGTCTGCTTAAAGTCAATCCCCATGACAAATTTTGTGCTAATACATATATAAATTCCCATGAATTATCTTAAAAATACACTACGACTAAGATAAAAACACGGATAAGGATGATGATTCATAGAGGTCCTGCAAGTAAAAGAGCCCTGAGTCAGTGCTCTAAAGAGTTTGCGAATATCCCACTGGTCATTGTGGAGTTGAGACATTTCAAAGGAAGGACTTGTACAAACACTAAGGCCTGCTTTCACTTGTAGCAAGCAGAGGGGTCAAAGGACCT